GGTGGGTACAAGGATCTTAAATTAAAATAACAGGCACAGCTTAACGGCCTTTTTCAGGCGTTGCAAAGAGGGCTATTACTAGCTTATAAAATAATATTAAATTACTTAATTTACATCACATTGCATAAAACTCTAAGCTCTAAGCTGTATGACGTTAGCTAAATCGATAAAAATATTTTCTTAAAGCCTGGACGTTTTTTTTAACATTTAGTTTCCCTATAATTTCCAATCCAGTGTTATGAGTATATTCCATAGAATTCAATTCGATATTTGTGAGACTTAAGTTATTCCTATTCACATGACATATTCCTAAAACCGGCCACTAACGGTTAAATTTCTTACCTCACCGTAAACAGGTTATTATAATCCGGATTTCATTTGTATTCGATAATCCTATAGTCAAAAAAAGTATTTGTTGGTTTTTGAGTCATCGTTAGGTAGGAACTCTACAATGATGTCACGTTAAAATCATTTTATATAATCATCGTAGTTATTAGTGTAATAGAATTAGCTCGTACCAGCGGACAAATGGCGCTGGCTAAATGTCAAGTTGAGTTTGTCGAGGTCAACAAATGGATGGGTGGTTCTTTTCGCCTTAGGTTTAACTTACTACTATAAAGGAAAATATAAACAGAGAAAATAGTAAACGATCACCAAGATTAGATACCTAAGATCGCATTTTTATGTAAAACTATGTTAATTTAATTATTTTATAAAAACGTTGCCACACTATTATTTTCTCCTGTGTGAGGTTACAAACGTATAAGTAATTTTATTTCACATACACAAGCCACCCAGACCCAGACATTTTGTTACTCACACAAAGATTTGTTCCGTGCGGGAATCGACCACGACACGTGACATGGCAGCAAGTTGCCTAGCCACCGCACCTACCTTGCAGTCATAACTATAGTTAAAGTTTTCACATATATTGAATATGTGAAATATATTGCAGTAATTTTTAAGGAAAACGAATCCAAAAAAATATCATTTACTAAAAATAATAACTGACCACAACATGTTCGATGTGGTGTCATGGGTTATTGGAGGAACACCGGGTTGGTTTTTAGTCAGTAAGAGTCTGACAGTACCTTCGCCCTTACCCGAGGGCGGTGGGTCTCCATGAGCATTTTCCAACCAGACACCAAAAAAAAAGGGTCACAGCTCTTATATAATTTTATTCCAGTCAAGGTGCCCCTGCTAAGATTTGTTGATAATTTACTACTACTACCTACCTACAATTTGAAGTGAAAAAATTAAGCGCATTGAAGCATTTTATGGTGGTCCTTATATTTAGCCCCGTTTTTTTTTGTCATCACTTCTGATTGGGAAACTATTATGCCTTGATGACCTCATGATAAGGAGCACGAGCATCGAATCCAGGACTCGTAACTGTTGCAGTTTGATTTCTAACCACTCGACTATTGATACAGTGTCTTGTATTCTGAATTCGTTTTTTAAACATTAGTGACACAAATATTTTATCGCGATGCGGGAATCGAACCCGCTTCTGTTATAATTATTTAGGTCTCAACATAGTTGCGATACAAAACATTGTAATTATACATATTTGTTGCTTATCTATAATTACTGAATTTCACCTTCGTCATCACTGTATAGTTGTTAAGCTAGGATATACCACCCCACAAACAGAGTTTTTACCAGATCCAAACTAATATTATTAAAAATGCGAAAGTGACTCTATCTGTCTGTCTTTTCTTCACGCCCAAACTATTGAACCGATTTTGTGAAATTTGGTATATAGACATAGTTTGAAACTATTCGAGTATCTCGTTAAATTTTTGGTGAGTAAGCCGAAAACATTATAATTAATTTAGAATGTCTCACGAAAGTTATAATAAAAAGGACATTGGATAGTTTTTATACGAAAAATCAGCAGGAACTCACTATTCCACGCGAACGGAGTCGGAGGCAAAAGCTAGTGTTAAACAAAACATACAGACAAATTGGGACACGGCTTTCTTCCTTTTTTGAAATTAGATAATCAATAAAGATGCCTAAAAGATATCGATTGTATGAAATTATGGCTTTAATGTGTAAAAATGAAAAATTCACACAAAAAGTTTTTTCTCGCTGGTTTTCTGCCGGCCGTGGTATCACTTCTATCAAGCTGGCACATTTGTTGAAGGGAGTTTCAGACTTAAACACGACACCACCCGGCCTTTCCCCTGCTCCAGGTCTCATTCTATACATACATTGGTCTATTGGCACCAAGCCTTGCACCCGCAACTCCGAATAAGGGTTACATTTAATATTATTACTTCAGCAAAATGCTTCACTTTTACAGCGAAGAGGAAAAGTATTGGCGCTCGTTGTGCAAGCTCACTGCAGTCAGTGCAGCGGACGAGTTGCGTAATGAGTTTTCAACATCAGTTTTTTGTTCTTTTGTTAATAGTCTACCACAAAATATAAGTAGCTCACTTTTTCATTTCAATGTGTTTAAAAGACTGTCCAATCTGAACTGGTGACCTGTTTTTCGAATAGGTGATTTTTCCCTTTATTTGACCAAATGCGTATAGCTTGGGAGTTACCTAGTTTTAATAGAATATTTTAACAAGAAATGGTTTCAATTTCAGTGTGGGAGAGCCATGCTTCGGCACGAATAGGTCGGCTCGACCGGAGTTTGATGTTTTTTCGCCGTGTGAGCGAGGTTACCGGAGGCTTACTTCTTCCCCTCCTACGTTTTCTAGAGTTGAGCCCACATTTAGCTAAACGTAGTGTAGGGCGCCCTCCAGCTAGGTGGGCTAACGATATCCGCTCAGTGGCTGGCAGTGGTTGGATGATAAGAGCTGAACTATGGCTAGCAATGGACGGGATCAGGCTGATAATGATGATAATAGTTTTGTAAACACTTACTATAACGTAGGTACACTAAAGCTAAGATATAAAGTATTACTTCATTATGACGTTATACACGATACTTTCAACTTACAACAAATGAAAATAAAACACAAAATTGATTGTAATGATTTATTTAACAAAAAATTGTTCACTTCTATAGTGTATTTATTGTATTTCATATAATTCAACTAAACTAGAACTTAATTAAATAATAAACGTTATGAAATATATCAAAACGCAGATTTTTTTTAAAGAACTCACAACACAACATATTCAAAATAATTGTTTCTCATTGACATCAAAAAAAAATTTGAAGAATGTTGCGAAAAAAATAATACCTGTAGACAAAAATTTGAGCAACGTCTGGTGACGACACTGTCTTGTGAAAAAAAATAACATTATGTTTGTCAAGTCTTGTAGCTGTCTTGAAATGGGTAGTTTCCTAGGTTAAAAATAAATTAATTCGATATTTGTTGATATTTTTTGATTCGATTCAATACAATAAAATACTGAATAATAACTATACTTCTATTGATCGATCTGTTTTGAGATTTCTTAAGCAATTTTTTAGAAATAAGTAAGCTACTTGACGCAAAGACATGTCTTAATTTGGAGTTTCATACAAACTTCATAGAGAAGTATAATTTTTGACATTTGGATAAAAGTATTTAATTTGACTAGTTGGAAACTACCGTATTGAATGATCTTTTTCTTTGAATTTAATAAATATGTATGGCAATTATTCGGTGGTCTGATTTCTATTGTCATGAGAGAAATATAGATGATATGACGGTAAACAACATAATGAATGGTTCTTGTATAAATTTGCGATTTGTACCTAATTATTAATAAACGATCAATGTTAGTACTTTAATAACATGTATAAAATAAAAATCCTGTGTATTATAGATTGATGTTTATTAGAAAATGCACAAATATGCTGTGGGAACATAATAATTGTTCATTCTTTGGGTAGACTTATAGTAAATGATCAAAGTTATAAGATAAAATCCATGAAACCGTGAACTAACCGAGTTTCGTTACCTAGGCACTAAGCTAACATGTTCGGACACGTTACGGACTGGAATTTATATAACATAACATTTCGATTTAACATTATTTTGATGCCTTGCACACACAATTACAAATTTATTAATACATTCAAAATAAAACGAATCTTGCAGATTAATTCAACAAGGCTTAAATAAATCCACAAGGTTGATTTTATTTTACAAAATTATTACAAAGGAAAAACATAATCTGGCTTATTTCTAGTAGTCCGTAACATGTCCCAATATTTCAAGTCAATACATAAAAAGATAAAATCATTAAAGTTAAAACCGCGATACATAATAATATTATGTACAAACATTGCCTTCACTTGTCTTTTACAACTAATCAAATATATCTATTTACTATGTATATTACATTTTATGTATTTCTAATTTGTTTTTTAATGTAAAGTGTGTTTTGAACTTGCAGACCTTCTGCAACTAATAATTTTTTTGTTATCAACAGTATTCTTTACACATCAAAATAATCATGACCTTTCTACATCATGTTAAACGCGAAGGTGTGGGTATTAATCACCACGCTAACTCAAGGCGGATTGGCGATTATTTTTTTAACTACAAGTTCAGATTTGCTCAGAGGAATTCCTTCACCATAAATCTATGGCATCGCATTTTCATTTTTATTTGACATTCATACATAAGTGAATTATTGAATTTATTTATATTTATTTAGTACAAAACACACTTCACTTACAATACTTACATTCGGACGACGACGTAAGGCGAACCAACGTCGGATATTTCGAGACGACACTATTGATATAGTGTTATGAAACGACAGGTAAGTCTGATCTTATTTTCTGATTTATTATTTACTGAACATTTTTACCGTTTTTTTCTATACCACCTAGTTGAAAGACAATAAATAGCTTGTTTTTTTACCGCTGAGGCATGAGGTGCCAAACAAGCTTACAGTATGGCGTCTACATAGAAAATCGCGTGCCCATGATTTACTTTTATATTAAAAATCCTTAAAGAGAATTAAAGGTGCGATTTTGTTTTTTATCGCGGCTATTGAGTCTCCGCTATTTTATTATTGACTATAGAATATAGTCTTATGCCAAGTTTATGTGTATCTGTCACTGTCACTTCATAACCTTACACAATGCCTTCAACTCTAACATCAAAAACCGCATCTATAAATTGTATCCGCCAAGAAAATATCATTTATCTAATATCTGATAACCAGACCGTCTAGCCAGAGCTAGTTCTTACAGTCTTAACAACGCTAACCGCGGAACTAATGCAATCATCTTTCCAGCCCCGCTAGACAAATGACATATACGTCACACTGACATACGTCAAATTTGAAACATGTCAAAGTCGTTGACTTTTGACGTTTATCCCATTCATCTAGCGGGATATTTATAGAGCTCTTTTTGGCTCATGCTGATAAAGACATTTGCGCGATACTTCCCATTGTTCGGCCCCTACATGATGATACACCTCTTGTTATCTTTCTCGTCGTGTACGAGTGGGACGGCGACAGGTTCGGAGGATGGGACCAGCGGCGGCGGACCGGTGGGTGCGGGCTTCAGTGACTCTGGGTCAAACGTTTCGGTCGTTGCCACTGGAGCCGTTAGCGGTAAGTCTGTGTTGATGCCAACGATCTGTTCGGAAATAAAAAGGATTCTTATGAATTGGACAAAAAGTTTGCAAGTAAAAATCCCTATAGATAGAAATTGAAATGGTTAATTTAAACAATTTAGAACTTACAGACGTAAAGTAAAAATAGTGCTAAATTAAAACTTTGCATTTAATATTGTTTTGAATTGGTACTTAAGATTCTAGACGTTTGTAACTATAGTAAAACGGTATAAACAAGTTGTGGGTGAATAGAATTTGGTTAATATTATGTTACGTTACGTTCTACGGTATCTAGAATATAGTATTAGAACACATTGCTTCGGCTAGTTTTTTACATATAATTTTGACGAGTAAATGTATTGTTTTATGGCCTATTTAGAAAAATAAATTCATTGTTTCATTGTTACATAGTTACCTCAGCGTTTCTCCTGGCGACCGTAGGTAGCGCGGCGGCGGCGGCGACGCGTCGGAATGGCTCGGCGAGTCGGTCGAGTACACGCATGCGCTTGGTGGGCGCGGCCTCCGCGGCCTCCGCGGCCTCGACGGCGAGCTCCACGTCCTCCGTGTCCGGCTTGCGCTTGCGCCCCACCACCGTGCCGGTGGGACGGCTGTGGGACTCAGTCGAAGGGGCTGGTGATGCTACTGAGGGAAATAGAAATAGAAATAGAAATAGAAATTTTATTTGCTTAAACATGTGTATACATACAGAATTAAAATAATACATGCATGAAAGATATTATAAATAGGCGTGAGCATGACATGTCTGCCCATCTCAAGGCGTGCAAATATTAGATAAAGTTTTTTTTATCAAATAGATTCAAATTATAGGAGTACATTTACACTTATACATTATGTTACATCAAATTCTAAAGATCAACAATATATTAGTTACATACACATATCATTACATTATCAATTTATATTTATTATTTAATTATTTCATTTACTAACACAAGGAGTCATTTAAAAATTCTATAATACTATAATAAGCTTTTTGTACCAAAAACGATTTCACAGTATGTTTAAGTTGAGGTATTGTTTGCTCCTTCCAACTTTTGGGCAATTTATTGTAGATAATTGGTGCCATGCAGAAAACACTTTTCCTCATAAGTGCAGTTTTTGACGTGTGTGCACATAGTTTGCTATCATCACGTCTATTTCGTGGGAATTTGTCTGCCATACGGGTGAACAAATGCGGATATGCCTTAACGAACATAGCTATTTCAAATATATACAGTGAGGGTAACGTTAAAATCTGATGTTTTTTGAAATAAGGTTTACAGCTATCAGTACTTTTGAGATTAAACATCGATCTCAAGCAGTACTTTTGTCTTTTAAAGATGATATCCCTATCAGTTGAGTTGCCCCAGAAGATAACACCATATCTAATGACGGATTCAACTAAACCATAGTAGGCTGTTAGTAAAGCATCCGTATTGAGAGTTCGTGATAGTCTATGTAACGCATATGCACTACTGCTTATTCTTTTGGCTAAAGCCTCAATATGCGCTTTCCAATTTAGGTTTTTGTCAATTGTAAGGCCCAAAAATTTTGTAGTATTAGCTGTCTGTATTTTATTATTATTAAATTCGATGTCAAGATTAGAAAATAATGATGATCGTTGGCTAAAGTACATAATCAAAGTTTTATTAATATTAATTTTTAAATTATTATCATTTAGCCAAGTTACTGCATCAATTAATGTATTTTTTATGTCTGTTTCAAAAGTATACTTATTAGAAAAGGGAAAATAGGGAAATAATGAGGGAATAGGGAGGGAAAATATTGTTACTATGTTATTCCACTACTTTTATTAAATTACCTAGGGTATCCTTACACTTGGAGACTTTTCCGGTGGGGTAGACTTTCTTTGAGCCAGTAAAAGGTCATAGATATTTCCGACTCTTTTGAAAAATAGTAGAAAACACAAACTAGAATCATATTCATTTCGGGCTCTGGGCTAATTGTAATTGTCATTAGGAACATGAATATATTGTCCCACCATTTCAAAGACCAGAGGCCCAATTATTCTCCTCCCCCACTTCTCTTATAATATAACACACTATCCTATAGAATACCTGATAAACCACAAAAGGCCGACAACTTACTTGTAGTTTGGTATTACGAGTATCCCATAGGCGGCGCCGATTGCTTTCTACATGAGATTGCCGACCTATCTTATAAAAAAATATATTAAGTTATTTAAAAAACATACCAGGCGTAGTAGTGGTAGTGGTAGTCCGAGTCCTGCTAGTGAGATGTCTGAGCGTGATCTCCTTGAGCGGCTTGTAGGAGGAACGGCCGCGGATACTGCGCAGTCCACGTAGGTAGGAGCTGTCGTCCATTGTACCTTCTTCTAGGACCGACGACTCTGATATGTCCATCTCCATTGTTGTGTTATTGCCTGTAATATAGAAAATAAGATTCATCATTGACAGCAGAATAAAATACATTTGTGGGGTTGAAGGTGTAAGCGCCATATTGTACAGTGGCTCGGCCTGGACGGAAGATATGGGGTGGTTTTTAGTCAGTAATAGTCTGACACACTCTCTCGCCCCACACAGGGCGAGAAAATAATGTAATGTCGCTCCTCTTAAAAAACTAAAAATAGATATATAATATATTTTTTAAAACCACTACTCTTACGTTACCTAAGAGTCTAGGAATGCAGCACTATCGAATAACCCTGATATTTTTACACTGAAATCTCAATCCCTAACCAAATATGGAGGTAATGGCAATCACAGTTATTATAAGTAAGTCTATGGAGAGGCAATGGACTAACACGGGCTGTTAAAGATAACTTGATCATCATCATAACCCTAAATAAACACAGCAGAACAATCCAAATCAATCAAAATAAAACTTGTCTTTCTTGAAGCGGGAATATCAATAAGTTACTTGTCCGTCCTGATGGTGCGAGGGGAGTGTCAGACTTACTAACTAAAAACCTCCCTGTTCCAGGTAGGCTTGGCAGGCAGTAAGGTTAGAGAAAATATTGTGGCTAGTGCTGTGCAACCTATACTAGTAACAGTTCACATACCTGAATCCACAGACATTTTTATTTAACTGGGTACTTTATAACAGAAACAAATGGCTTATGACATACAGTAGACATATGTCAGCACAGACATTACAACAGAGATGTACTGAACAATAAAGTCAAAGCATTTTTTAAATTAATCTTTTGAAACGTCAAAATAGAATCATTTGTGTGATAATATTGAGATTACAAAATTTAATTCGTCACTTAACTGTTAACAAACATTACGTCATTAGCGCCATCTAGCGAGTGAGGAAGTGGACTTATTATAAAGTTGCAAATATTCTTCGTTGAAACAACATCACAGTTTTTGAAAATGATTTTGATTTGGGTACCTAACGACTTTAATAGTAAAGTATTTCGATTTTCCTGCAACTGTATGTACTTTTTTAATATTGTTGAAATTGGATAACATTATTTTTGTACTTCTAACGAACTTTTCTCTTGAAATTCTCATTTTTCAATATTACCAAAACTGTGAATTCATAGTATATAATAATACTAGTTTCCGCCCGCGCCTTCGCTCGCGTGTTATGTTAATAAAAAGTAGCCTATGTCCTGAGTGAATCCTATGCCTGTGCCAAATTCCACCCAGATCCGTCCAGCTGTTTTGGCGTGATTGAGTAACAAATATACAAACATTGTAAGTTTCGCATTTATAATATTATTGAGGTTACCTGTATAGTTGGCCTGCAGCGAAGTATTGGTCTGGTCTGCGATCCTCATGCTGCGCCGGTAGGGGGAGACCTTGACTCGCGACTTGGAGAAGTTGGTGTCGGTCTTGCGCGGCTCCTCCTCTGCAAGAATACGTCACACTACACATAACGTTACCGCGTCCATCTCCACAGTCTACTATATAAAAATAAGTAGGGTTTTCCTTCCTGACGCTCCAGAAAACCCATTTCCTCGGTTTTGCATTCATTGAAAAGGTATCGGGCTCCGCGAGGTTTATAGCAAAGAAAATTTAGAAAAAAATTCAACAGAATAGAGGTAAAATCATTTTTTCACATACAGCGCCAACTTTTGGAAATAAATCTGGTGGCCAAACAGGGTTGGCCGGGTTTGCTAGTACTATATAACATTATATTTTACTTCTGAAGTTGCTCAAACCAGATACCCGTACATCATCTAGTCACCAAAAATGACTTTTATATAGAACTAGCGGCCCGCCCCCGCTTCACACGGGTCCAACTATCTCGCTATCTAAGGTTCACTTTTTCCTAATCTACCCCTCTACTTTCCTAATATTTTTTTTGATAAGAACCTTCTCCTGACACTAACAAATACAACAAAAAAAGAATTGGCAAAATTGGTCCAGGCATTGTTGAGTTATGCGCTTACCAACACATTTCGCGATTCATTTTTATATTATAGATATACCTACTATTACCTTTCGAATTATAATATTAAGCTAGTAATTGAAAAGATCCAGAACTATTTATTTTAGAAAAATTATTTATTTTTAACTTATGTCCTAAAAAAGAAATATCAAAGTTAATAGCTGCACGGTTGACCTGTAGCTGGATAACCGGCTGTTGTGTAATGTATCGCGGGTTCAATTCACGAACGGAACAACTGTATGTATGATCAACAACTTGTTGTTCCGGGTCTGGATGTGATGTGCACGTGAAAATGTGTGTTTGTAAACGCACTGACGACACAGGAAAAATACTAGTGTAGGGCAAGGTATTTAAAAAGAAAAATATACTTACAAGAGATGTCTTATTCTATTAATACATACAATTATAGTCACTTAATAACTTGAAACCTAGCTGTGTAGCAATTTAATTGAACTTAAAACTTAAAAATAATTTGTAATATATGAGTGTAACCTGTTTTTGCCTCCACAAAAAGTGGTGACGTTGTTTCTTAAAACTGAATAAGCTAAAATATGAACCCTTAAAATCTCCAAAGCATCCACTTACCCTCGTTTCCAGGCACTTCCAGTGTATTCTCTGACTCCACTTCTGTTTCTTTCCCTTTTCCAGCATCTTCGTCTTTCTCATCAACTTTCTGCAGCCCTTCATTCTTCGTTGGAGACTCAAGTTTATCCTTCTTCGAGTCCTTCTTTCCTTCTTGAGGTTTCGGAGAGTTTGAGGACCTTAGCTTCCTGTCTGTGGCCACTGTTGCATCTTCTTTGAGTTTCAAAACTTTGTCTTTTGGCTGAAATATTTCGAGGGTACAATGAAATTTTTGTAAAGTTAGTGTTGGTTGTATGGTAATTAATAAGTAATTTCATTTTACTAATACATAAATACTGTACTACTGTACGTTTTTATTGACAGTCAGTTAAATTGTGTCAACGTTCAAAACACCTGTACAGATTTTGATAAGATTATTTAAGATAATCATGCATATATTTTACAAGCTTACTTTTACATGCTCGTTATTATATAATAATATAACTGTAATAATTGAATTCATATATAAAAATAGAATAAAAACATGTACAATAAATACTTGTAAGTATCAACATATAACTTAAAAGATATTACTTAAAAAAAATCTAGCTTACCATCTCATTACCAATATAATACATAAAATTATCATATCGCACAATACTATGCAATTGGGTCAGTAGTATTAGTAGTACAAATATGTGCAAACTGTTATAACATGTGCCGTGCAAGTTAGCTGTGCAAATATGTGCATTACACTGCTTTGTCAATGTGGAAATTGATAATATTATATATTAGGACTTCGGTGTTAAATTTTGCATTGAATTGGACAGAAAAATATGCACACGCATTATCATATGGTGCGCAATCTTCGCCCTCCATAGAGACCCGCAACACCAAAGGAGTAACGAGTGAGTGAGTTGCCAGCAGCAGATTACAGTTTCGGATATAAGGATTGGGAAAGACGTGGGATGGGAAGGGTCGGGCCTCCGGTACATTTACACGGGACACAACGCTGTGGTCTTTTCACGCTGGATTTATGTTAGGCCGTGGTATCACTCCGGTCGCGCCGACTCATACGCACACTCAAAGTGTCATATTCTTACTTTATTAAACGACTTTTTTTTGTATGTTTTTTATTGGAAAAGTTGGGGGGGGGGGGGGATCGCTAAGGGCAACACCAGAGGTGTCTCATGTCTACTCAAACAGTTATCCACAAATGACATAATGTGTAAAGAATGTTTTATGTAAATAATTCCATTCCGATGCTTATACATATGAAAAAAAACCAATCAAACTATCATTTTCCACATTCACAAAACGACCTTACAAGATAAGGTAACACGGATTAGTTTATAAATGGAGTGACAATGCCATTAAAAATACCATTCCTAAATTCTAAACCAACATAATCTAAAAGTAAACACAAAATAAATCATGTAGCCTCCATGATAACTTTCTATTAGTATATTTTAGCGACTTTAGTTCGATTTTAGGTACTCCATGTATATTATAATCCGTGTGTATTGTTATACCGCGACTTACATCGTCGGCATCCTTGTCTGTTTGTTTGTCTGACGCAGGGCGCGGCGTCTCGGGCGTCCGCGTCGCTTTCACCTTTACCATAACAACGCTATTAGTTCGTTAGGATGGACACACACAAAATGATACCAATGTCTCACTGCAATACTTGCATGCAAGAGTTTATCTTATGACTTAGACTTGTAAGTCTAATTCAGTTTGCACGCCACTTTATGCAGGTAAATGCAAAAATGTATCTTATTGTTTACACTTGTGAGTGTAATTTCCTTTGAATAACCAAATTACTCATTCCACTGAGCAAAGTGTACAAGTAATTCATGCAAGTGTCGGTATGAATTAATGGATGTTTATTGTCATTATGAATGAAACGATTGAATGAACTGACTCTAGCTTGCAGTGAGACATCAAACTTAAAATGAGCACCACAGAACCGAAAAACAACTACAAAATCAAAAACAAAAAACATCAAATTCTGACGGGACTGTCATAAAGGTCGTCAGAAACATGTTTAGTAAATTAAGGAACCTGCACCAACGAAAAAAAAACAACTGAATCTGAACAGAATCGATAAGAAAGCACAACAGGTACTCGAAGGTACCTGTGATCGTCGCGTCAGGCTTCGGCTGGGCCCACTTTCGGGGGTGGGCAGTTCGAAACAGTCTCCGTCAGACGTATCTTCGTACGTCAGCTCCGGGAACAAGTCATCCTGGTCGTTTTCATCGTTGTCGTCGATGACGAGCATGACGTCATCGTCTTCAGAGTCCGCACTCACCGTTCCGTTTAATACGTCATCAGTTCCGTTGGTACCGAGCGTCACGTCAGACACTCCGTTGTGCACGCGATCGCGCCCGTTCTGTTTGCCGTTTTGTTTTGACGTTTCCGGCTTTTTCGCTTCAGTTTTCTCTGGCTGAAATTTATTATTTTAAAGCTTGGTATTTTATACAATTGCACTAATAGATCAAAGAAGATTTGGAAGCAGATTGAAGAGAAATATGTAAAGATAAGATGGAGAGATACGGAGAAGTCATCACCGGAATATGATTTGATGAATGAAATTTACTAAAGTTTTTTCCAACTACACCCATGGAAAAAGACATGAATAATTATTTATATACACAATATGTAACATACATCCTGCAGTACAGTATCCCCACCAGTCTAAAACTAACCTTTCCATTCTTTTCCTTATCATCCTTCTGGGTTTCCTTGGTCTTTTCTGGTTGCGGTTCGGGTTTCTTCTGGTCTTCTTTAGTCTGTTTCTCAGCATTCTTCTCGGCCTTTTCTTTCTTCTCGTGTTTGTCAGATTTACTTTCAGTAGCTTTCTCTTTTTCTGCTGGCTTTTCTACTGGTTTCTCTGTTTGTTTTTCTGTTGCCTTCTCTGCTGCCTGCTTTTCTTTCTCTGCATTCGCGGCCATTTTCTTTTTCATCTCTTTTACTGGACTGTTTCTCTGTGAATATAGTTTAATTATATTAAAATAATTATTAAACCATACATGTCGTGGTGGCCCGGGGTTAGTCTTCCACTTCTCATGCATGAGGATGCGGATTCGAAACCTGACAATTACTAATGTGACTTTCCCGACTTTCCACGATTATTTAGATTCAGATAAATGGCACAGTAAACCTGGACCTACAATTTCTAATTATAAGTTTGGAATCGGCAATCCGCCTTGAACAACAAGCGTGGTGGTAATACTCAAACCTTCTCCGTGTGAGAAGAGACATTTGTTCAGCAGTAGGCAGCAGTTCTTAAATTGAACGTGTAGCTGAGCAGTGTAGAAACTTCACAAATAACATCGAATTGTTAGAGAAATAATTTCGGTGTTCTAAATATTGTCACTTGACTAACTGAATCTTAGTACATGAGTCGAAGATAAAAATTATGAGTAGATATTATAAATTACCTTTTCTACTTCTTCACTGACCGCCGTTTTGCGGGACACCTTCTGACTCATGGTGTATCTGGAACAAAACGTATGAACATTTAGTCATAGCTCATAATGTTATAGTATAAACACATCCAATTGAAGTAAAAGTTGTGTTAAAAAGTGTGTCTATTTTCATATTATCACTCTCTCACTTATTTTACCTAAGTTCAAGATTGCACAGCCTATTTTTTTTTTATTCCAGACTTACAGCTAGTATCTTCACTTTGGACTGTTTATGAGTGTTAGCTCATACATCACACTCAGAACCGGGGCAAAAATTATTAATATGTTCCACTTACAATTATAACACAAACACAATACAACGTTTTCACTACTTATCATGTCTTTAGAGAAATTCACATTTAGGTTTTTTTTTTTTTTTTTTTTTTTTTTTTTATTTTTTTTTTTTTTTTTTTTAAAAAAAACGTTGCCCCACATTAGGATTTTCTCCTGTGTCGTGGGTGCGTTTACAAACATACAATTCCACATGCACAACACACCCAGACCCGGAACAACAATTTGTGGATCACACAAAGAGTTGTTCCGTGCGGGAATCGAACCCGCGACACGTTGCACAGCAGCCAGTTGCCCAGCCACCGCGCCAACCGTGCAGTCAAATTTTTAACAAGATCTTGGATACATCAGTCGCTATATGTTAAGTAGTGCCACCAAGACCGTTACCGGTAGTATGTCCTAAACTCTAGACTATTGTGTACACAGACATTTGAATATCCTTTTAGTGTTTGAGACGCATTGTGTAATATTTAACACACTTTCACGGATTGCGCTGCCCACATCGAGGTTAGAGAAACTGAAATATATTAATATTTGCTGTAAGACTCACTTCTCTTAAGGAAAATTAGAAATTGACAGACTAAGAATTGTTTTAGGAGGCCTGAATTGCTTTACGAATGACTTTTTTCTTCCTAAAAAACTTTTGAGGAATATGTCAAACAAGTTTACGTAAAGAAGACAAGAAAGAGACGTGGGGTAACTCAATTCCAGTATCGCGTGTTTAGTATCTATTAGAGGAGCGAAGATTACATATCAGGGTCCTATTTAGACCCGGTCCCTCTTCAACTTGTACAAAGAAATATCTGCTTTAAAAATTACTTACACTAATTCGGTAGCACCGAAATAACTACGCAGCTATGTCAAAAAATAAAAAAGGTATATTAATAATAATATAGCCACTTCCATAGAAGATGTGTTTTATAATTTACATCCGATCTAAAACAGGCGCGTAGAATTAGATGGTACAGACCTACAGACAAATTAGGAAACATAAAACAGTAATAAAATTAAATATGGCTAGTAAGATGGAAATTGGCCATCCTTTTATAAAAATAGTTTTACGCCTACCGCTTTGCCCGCTTTTTTTCACTTTTATCTTTATATAAACATTTAGAAAAACTATATACGAGTGATTCACTATTGTATAATTTGTTTAAATGTTGTACTTATGCAAAGCATGACTTATTTATGTATTTAAAAAAAACTTCTGTAGTTCAGAAATATGTTCAAAAAATTTAGACTCTTTTAAGTGACCTAATCAAGAAACAAATAACCAAATCTTTCTTTTCCATGCTATTAAAGTATAGATTCTTTTATAGGAAACTATAAAAGCACCGAATACAAGAACAACTGGCATGTAATAGGTAACCAACCAACCAATTTTATCTCACTAGCACAATCTATTTCGACGCCAAACAATACCTTCACAAAACGTACAAGTTTTTTGCATGTTGTATAATGACCATGCACTTATGGTACTGGGCAGACAAGGTCATGTGTATAGAGCTTTCTCTCAAGTATTGGATATTTCCCTTCTAACACAAATAGAGGCGAAGGGTTAATGAACTCTACTCACACAGACGCAACGGCTACGTTCTGGTGTAGGGTACAAGTTTGAATTACTTCGTTAATTAAATCTAAAGGAAACAATACGTTGAATAAGTTCTAAGATAGGTAGTGTTAATTATGTTATAGTGTTCGGAATTCTTTTCTCTGAAGGGCTAAGCAGAGTTATAAATTGTGTTCAACTTTACCTACATATAAAATGTTGGTACAGACTTTTCGTATTTTTTAAGCCTATTATCTTACTAATATTGTTAATTAGAAAGTTTGTGACAATATATGAATATATGTTTGTCATTCTTTTGCGCAAAAACAGCTGGACCATTGGTAGGTATGTGGAAACACGGTGGAATCAGGCTGTTTTTATCAACATACAACGCGGGCAAAGCCGCGGGCTAGTATATTAAATTACAATAAATATACAAAATTAAGTAAAATTCACGTGGTATCATCGTAAGGAAGGTCTCTTGTTGTTGGTGTCCATAGAGGTTGCGACCAACGATGCCGTGTTGATTAAAATATACAAAATGTCATTCGTTCCAGTTACAGATTATCTATGGATATGAACATTTAACACGGAGAGTTATTAACAAAAACTTGTTATTTTTGCATCGTTTATGACGTTTTGACATGCGTCTTGAACAAAAGGCTGCAAGCTAGACAAAAGTCAATATTTTTTAAGACAACTATCCACTCTCTGGGGAAAGTATAATTCTGGAACATTCTTTTATTTATTTTTCTTCTGACTCTTTTCAACCCAGACCGGAATCGGAGATATATCAGCTTTTTAAGATAACAGCATCGAACTAATCCTTATTTATACTTGTTTTACAATTTTAAACCCGCTTAACCCTTTCACTTGTACCACAGTTCAACATAGGCACTTATAAAGGGCATCAGCGCAAGGGCCGTTCATTTACCACTCGCGTTAACAGATGTTATATATATAGCTATGTATAGCTATACAAACACACTATAATCAAATCGTGATTGCCACTCAGTGTAGTGATGCCCAAATACTCTATGCCACTCAACTTTTTAATATCATTTCTTATACCATTCTAATAGTGAAGCTGTTTTATTTAAGTGTGGGAGAGCCATGCTTCGGCACGAATGGGTCGGCTCGACCGGAGTGATACCACGGCCTCACAGAAAACCGGCGGCGTTGTGTTTCGTCGTGTGAGTGAGGTTACCGGAGGCCCAATCCTTCCCCTTCCCCAATCCCTCCTCAATCCCTAAATCTCCAAATCCCTAATCCCTAAAAGGTCGGCAACGCACTCGTAACTCCTCCGTTGCGAGTGTCCATGGGCGGCGCTGATTGCTTACCATCAGGTAATCCGTCTGCTCGTTTGCCGACCAATTATATAAAAAAAAAAAACTATTGCTATTCAAGAAAGTTAATTCAAAGGATAGAATTTAGAAATCGTAAAACATTTTTATCTGTATGATTGTAGGTACCTTTTAGATTACAAAATGCATAATGTTTAGGTTCTCGACATTTTTAGACTGACCTTTAAACTACATTCAGAATTCAAAACCTAGTTTTTAGACAAACATCGACGCATAGAACAAGCAATTACGTATTAATTTTAATAGTATTAAAAAAAACATCACCTAAGTGTCTCAAACCGAAGCAAAGCTAGTGATAGGGCACATATTGTATGCATTCTGTTACCAAGCTACGATAAACCTAACCTAACCTACAGATAAAGGTCAAGATCACGGTCCGTAGTTCCATCACGCTCAGACGCACCCGTCCATAATAAATCAACCCCTCTTCAGACGATTGCTTTTTCTATATTCGTAGAAGTTTACTCTAAAACGGAGGTGAAGATGGATTTATTTTTGAAAGCCGTTTAGATGAGCCACCTGTTGACTGTACCGTTATGTGGACAAGCACGTGGATTTTATTGTTTTTAGTGTTGAGTGATATGACACACTCATGTCTTTTTTTAAATCTATTATTAGGAAGTATAACCTAACTATAATGACTTTAATTGTGTATTTTATTGTGATCATGCATGGAGATATTTCTCACATGCAAGGTTTTAAATTTTCAAGTAAGGGTTTTAAATTCCACTACATTTGAAGGGTTGATTATGTGCTTAGCTGAGTAATCAAAAACGGTCGGGATATTTTTTTATATATCGTCCGTCACTCTAATACTAGCTCATATTTACCTGATCAATATCAATAACTATATGTATAACATTAAGATTATTATTATCTTTAAGAAAAAAAATCATAGATATTAATTTCTATTTTAATATGGTAGTTGTTTATAGCCGTGAGCTGTGGTCGTGAGTGAAGAGATTCTTCTTGGTGAGACCTATGGGAGTTAAATAATGATTAATCATTTCACAGAACCTATTTTTAGACTGATTAATAGTCATAGTAAGCGTACAACGAGTAGTCAGTTTATAGTTCATGGAATTGTACTTTACAACTTTTGAATATAACTATGGCTTCTTTGCTGTATTTATGTTAAACTGGATTACATAAATATTAATACACGCCACATTCCAAGGAAAATAGCTTCTAAGTGGTTTAATTATAAACCAAAGCAAAAGATTTCACCATGATAAAAATTCTTTTGTATTAAAACTTTGTCGTAAATAAAACTGCGAGTCATCGCTATTCAGGTAAAATAAAATTTGATTGGTTTTTATTTTAATTTTATTTAGGATTTTTTCCTTAACATTCCATATTTTTTTAGAACTTATTAGCTGACTTGGCGAACTTCGTACCGCCTCAAATATAGGTAATTTTTTTTCTAATTTTTTATTCCTTCCCTGTATATCTACAAATATTTAAAGATCACCAGTTTTGGTCCATCGTTTCTCGAGTCTTAGCGAGACTAATGAACAGCAAATCATTTATATAATATTATAAGATAAATAATTAGGTTTCTTTAATTCCCGATATTAGGTTTGACACCGTTCTAAAAAAAAACTTAAACAAACTTCGGACCTCAGAAAATAAATTAAAACTAAAAACACAACAACAGTACTTACAGATCAACACCTTGGCTCACTTTAAAACAACTCTTTCAAAATAAAACACTGAAACAACACCCACGGTATCGAATCTAGACTAGACAGGACACGAATTAGGCAACACTGCACCTTGCTACCTACACGATGGACTAAATGCATCGCAATGCACTTCCAAATAAGT